AGGAGCATTGGGGCTTAATAAATTAGATTTATCTATTGTACAAAGGGAAATATCATTTTTCTCAGCTATACTCCTTCAAGACAGGCCAGCGTTGTGAATTCAGCTACCTGGGTCTTAACTTATTGAAGTACAAAAAAATAAATGCTGATATTTTTAAAGGAATTCTATTTTGACAACACATTTCGATCTCAACAATTCGTTTGTAAGTATAACCTTCAAGGGATCACAAATTTATCTCAATAGATGTTAAAATGGAAGCAGAAATGGTCTTGATATGAGATCTATATGAAGTTGTTGTGAGTGATATCGTTTGGAGGAGATGCGAGTAAGGTGACAGAAGAATGCTTGATGAGATCTTAAGGGCGATATGAAAGCTTCCTGATTGCCATACTTTGATCAACGATGAGATGATGTCAGTAACCCTTAACACATACCAAAGGCAATTAGGATAGCTTAAACCTAAATGAAAGTGGTGATAAACATTATGTAGAAAAACTAGGTTTCCAATGTTTCGTGAGAAACATTAGTTTAATTGTCGGACTGACAAGACTCACCTAGATAAAAGGCGGTCTAATGCTTCTGTGCGGCCCCATATGTCACGACCGCTTACGTAGACAGCGGTTGATGGTATGGGCTTCCCAAAACCAATTTTGCAGTGCAAGGATCGAATACACCGACCTGACATCTCGGCCTTGGCACGGGCTGCTTGGTCAACATTGGCAAAGCGTACAAATGCATACACATGGCCCCCATTAACTCCGGTGGCGGGGCGCTTGATATCTACGTGCTCGGCAGAGCCAAAACGGGAGAACGCTTCATGTATTTCTGTTTCGGAGATATCAGCTTCAAGGCCTCCAACAAAAAGTGTCCGAGTAGCGCTTGGATCTGCTTCGAAAATGTCGCCATCATCTTAAACGAGAGGAAGATAATCATTCACAATGCATATTACTATGTGAAAAGTAGATGTTGTGTAAAAACTAACTATTTTGTGAAATTCTTGGACAAATGAAAATAAAAGGTAGTATGATCCACTTTGAATATAATGAAAGAATATTTTATTGATCTGTATAAAACTTGTCAAATACGCGTGAGATATGTTTTTTTACTTGAAGATATCCTATGTCTTCAATTAATATCTACTTCAAGGTAATAATAAGTAAGCAAAGATTAGTAATTATAAATTTACCAGTGGTTAGTCAAATGTACATCCATCAAACCAAGAAGCCTAAGGGACTATGTGCATAAAAGCTATTTTTTATCGCCTTTTTTCCTACCAAGTTCATATGAATAGTATAAGTTTGAGAATCAGACTATGAGATATTCTACATTCAGATATACAAGATTATTATGACCTACCGAGTGGAGACGAAGGGCGCTCATTGCGATGACGATGCGGTGGAGTTGAAGGTGGTTGAACGGGAGCGAATCGATGAGGTCTGACTGGGGCAGCCGTTGCACCCAAAAGGCCACCTAAAGACCCTGGGTCAGTTAGTAGAACTTCCGAAGTACCAGGGACAGTCCCAGTAGCAGATACAAGGCCATTCCCTGACCCTCTTGCCAGCCCAAGCGCTCTTGCCGCTGCCATCATTGCAGGGGCGGCTGCAGCAATGCCAACCGGCATGCCTAGAATGGAGGCGGAGGTTGAAGCGTTAGGGCCAGACATGGAAATGACAGATCCAGAATGGGCGATAACACTTCCAGTGTTAGCGTGGTGCAAATCCGAGCTGATAGAAGTACTCGCAGAAGCGTGCATCTCCCTGCGGTGTCGATCATAAAGGTTGGAGATATCGCTAGACATTTTTCCAGGAGCTGCATTGATGGCATCATTCCGCCGAAAGCCACCACCAGTAGTAAGAATGCCTCCGTGAATATCATGTGAATCACTACTTGAGATTGGTTCAACAACCAAATTTCGATCGTGCAAATATACTTTAGGTTTCTCTCTTATCGCTTCCAGAGCGTCTTCCATGTATCTGTCCAAGATTACCAATTAGCAAAAAAATTAGCCAATGCATTATATTATGAAATTAAAAGTGTAATTATCTGGAAAAAGAGAATAACTTCGCAAGTTTGAGGGTGAAAGAATGCAGAATAGATTATATAAAACGAAAAGTTTGCCTCGAAGCTGACTATAATAATATAAGAATATTTGTATAAGATAATTTAAGATATAGACCGACAAAATAGTGAAATTCAGACGATGAGTGTTAATTTGCTGATATCCGTGAAAGAATTACAATCTCGCAGAACAAGAATAATTGACATAACTGATAAAAACTTACCAAATAAAATTAAAAAGCTTGATAGCAATGACCAGGACGACTATCTAATGCAAGGAATTTGTCTCACACTATTATAATGCACACATGTAGAAGATAAGATAAAATCTAAGTAGGATAAGCCTCGATTTATGCCTCCTTGTTTCAAATAGATATTTAGTAGACGATTTGGCGGACCAAATAGAATAAGATACATTCTATTAAAAATACGACAAACATGAGTAAGATACGATTTAAAAAACTGAATGCATATGAGAAATAGACAGAAAGATAAGTAAATGGAGATTATTCAAAATAACAAAATATAGATAAGTATTAAAAGTTAATTTACAATCGATTTGTCGCCAAAACGCTACGCCCAAGAGTAAGTTTGAAATAATCCCGAGATAAAAACTTAATCAGAAACTCGATACGAGCATCCTAGTAAAAGTTTAATACACCTAAGGAGAGAACGAAAAGGACTGGTGGTAATAATAGGCTAAACAAATTCTATTAGGATATAAGCTCTAAGTACAAAGTAAGCTCACGCGCATATATAGGGTGATAAAAAGCAATGACCAATATTGGATAGTAAAGTTAGTCAAATTAAGATGCGCTACGCTAAATGAGATCAATTCTGTTAAACTATAAAAAAAGGCCTGCAATAAGTAAATGAATACACGAATTTGACTACGAAATGACAAATAGAGAAATAAG